CACTATATATAAGAAGCTTCACGATTTTTCCATATATACCCCATATACTATATGGATAAATCTGCATTTTGGGGATGTTTCATGTTATCTCAGTGGAAAACATGATGTCCCCAAGCAATTGAAAGAATACAAATTCACCTGCTCCGAGCACTTGACTTAAATAAGTGAGTATGCCACATACACACACACTCGCACACACACACACGCACACATGGAAACACATAAACGCAAAGAGCTGCACATCCAGGCTTTGAGTAAACCGAACGGATGCTGGCGGGAACAAGCGAACTGCAAACTGCAAACTGCAAATAGAAACAGCAAGTAACCCGGCTGCCCGACAGTACATATGTACACATATGTTTGTATGTATCTACTTGCTGGCACAGACGTAAACACCTTGTTGTGTGGTTGACAACACATAATAAGCACATGCAACAAAGGTCTCGGCATATATACAAATCTCTGGCTAAAATAGCCAGCAAACTTTTGTTCGTATGTTAACAATAACAAAAAAAACACAAAAGCAATGTTATTCTATTTGAACAAGCGGACGTATAAGTAATTTCCAGACTATGACAATATTTGTGGGCAAATTAAAAAGAGAATAAAACAATTTGTGTATAATAATTTTAATTGACAAATACGTGCATTCAAAGAATATATAATAGGTTTAGGGCAGGCGGACTTATAAGTTTAATTATTGATAATCAGGGGACCAGAGTTAAGTAAACAACTAGTAAAGTCCACTCAAGTTCAAGTTTCTTCCGATTGAATTTTATTTTTTAAATTGCATATAATACAAGACAAGTTTCGCAGACTTAAGTAGTTCGAAAATGGACGTAGAACAGTTAAATGCAAATTGTTTCACCGTTTTTTAGGGAAAGTCCACCCTAAAGATACGAAGTTGTTTGGCACAAGTTTAATTTTTGTCCTTCAAACTTATAGTCAAAGCTTTGCCGGACTTGGCAAAACTCGCGAAAAGTGTATGAACAACTAATTGATAGTTCGTTTTGCAAGCAAAACTAAAATTGTTTATATAACTATGCGCATTGAATATGACTTGGCTAAATATGCTTCACCTTAATATACAGATTACGCTTATATATGTATAAAAAAAATGAAGATATTTAATCGAAGTGGTACAACAGTTATTGCAGTTGCAGTTGCAGTGCCTGCAGCCCATTTCAGATCTTGCTCAAGTGCCTCCTCTGATATCGGTCTTACAATCACAACCTGCCAATGTATGTACATATATCGTATATATACTAAATATATACTTGCTTGCTTAGTTGGCTGCAAACAATTTAAATTGCATTTTGTATTGATTTCAATTAGGTTCAGTGCGCTTATATGTAGTATTTTGTAGTGATGTTGTAGAAGCCATGTTGCGTATACGCCTCGTTGCGCTTCAATTGGCTGTCAGTTGCTCAGCCATTGATTGATTGTCTAATTGTTTGTCTTTGCTACATGCACACGGCAATTGAATAGCAGGTCGAAAAGTTCGTCTCGAGTTTAAATTTTAAGCTTGAACACGGCAACTGGGGCTACACCTTGACACACGAACTAGCTGGAGTTTATCATTGATTCTGTGTTCTTGATTTCAAAATGTGATTTTAATGTTTTTTTAATATCATCACATGTACACATGCACATACACATGCACACACAACAGATGGCCAGACAACAAATGATAAAGTGAAATAAAAAATAGAACTTTGAGCATTACGAACTCACAAAAATGTAACACAATAAATATGTTTGTGTGCGCTTCTAACAGACACAGACCGACAAACGCCCAACTCTCATCTTAGACAAGTGGGCCGCCTCTGGATTTATTAGAAGTCTGCTCGAGTCCTTAAATGTATAAGCTGCTTACACACGTCTATTGAAAACCGGTTAGATCGGAGGTGAACATTATTTGATTGACAGTGGGACAATCAGTAACATGGTCCATTGACGACTACAGTGGGTCAGACTAGGGCACATTTAACTTATACACACATCCACTATGCCAAGAAAGTGTTCGTTTTTTTCCATTTCATTTCCAAAAAAAAAGAAGAAATACTGTATTATTGTTTTATTTTATTTATATTTTTTGTTCTTATGGACGCCAAGTGAAAGTTGTATAGGCCAATAAAGTAGGACTCATTCAAAAGTTGTTTTTTATTTTGCAAATTTTCCAATTGTAGTTCTCATACTTATATTTAATTAGAATTTGATTTATCAGCTGCCTTTAGGTTAACCCCAATTTGCATGCGGCAGCTGCTTTTTGGCGTCCAATTACCAACTATGATGATGAAAACAAAGCAGAAAGCAGAGTGCAGAAAGCCAGGATCAGGGTGGTGATGCAGAGGCTGCTCTATTTGCCCAGTGATTCCCAGTGGCTTGCAGCTTATTATCTCATTTATTTTATGGTCTTCCCATGGCTCGACACTGGACGGCAACCAAACTGAATGAAATCAAGCCGTGTAATGAGCAAAAGCTATTCAAAACTGCTGCTTTTGACTGTCCACAAAGAGAGTTCATGTTGGGAGTTGCCAAGTTGCAAAGTAGCGAGTTCTGCGATTTGAGCTCATTAATTTTCGTTACTTGCATGTGGCAATATATTAATTTTAATTAAATATGTAATTGTGATGCTCCCTGGCAATTGCCATATGTCGCTGCAAGCACAATATCCTTGTTCATTTTATGGCTTGGACAATGCCTGCAGGATATGGATGTGCAAATATCCTTTAACTGTTGCTGCAGCTGCGGCTGCGGCTGCGGCTGCGGCTGCTGTTAATATTTCCATTGTCCTCTTAACAAACAAATTTTCCTTAGTGAATTTTTATGTCAGATTTTGGTTTTAGTTACATTTTGCGGTCTACCGCCCGCGTATCTTTGTCAGTTGATTTGTTTGTTTTTCCGCTTGCTTTCGGAGCTATTTCGGTCCAGCTCCATGTCATACCCTCTTTCCAAAAGGTAATTGTGTATATACTCATAGGCGTTTTGCAACATCCTTCAGACATTCTGTTGGCATAAGCAACCGACTCCAAAATACCATCAGCAATTGTACCCCATACCTTGCAATGCCTTAACACATATACAACGATAGATATTGCGGACCTTAGGCCTTAAAGCTTACTATTTGCGCTGAGCTTATCAATCATGAAGGGTATTGCGCAGTTGGCTACATCCGACTGCAGTGCTGATAGTAGTTTTGTGTAATGGTTATAAAGTTTGCCTGTTTGTTGAGGTCATGCCTGTTTTTAATTGCAATCTGTTGGGGGCTTCGAGAGAAAACTTTTTTTTTTTTTTTATTTTATTTTGCTTTTAGAACGCACATATTTGGCAATAACCAGGTATTGTTCAAAAATAGACGAAAAATAGGCGAATGGGTTGGCTTTAATTTCAGATATACATGTACACAGAATAAACAAATAATAGCACGTGGCGAATAAATAAAATGAGTACATTTATTTCATCATGAGCCTAAGGGACTTATAGCCATTGCCTTTAAATTTAATTATGTGTTAGCTGGTTGTAAACCAATCAAATAAATCTACAATTAAATGAGTATCTGGTGAGAGTTATCATAATTTGATATTACTTAAAACGCGACGCATTCATTTCGACTCGTTATCAATTGCAGAACTCTTTTTTACCATATCAGTTCGATTTGGCAAAAACTGTTAAACACGGCTCAAATAAATTTTCGAGCAGGTCATTAAAAATGAGTTTGGAGTCAATCGGTTGAAAACGAAAAAGTTTATACAACAGTTGCCCAACCATCTTTCGAACGTGGGGTAGGCGGTTGGGAATTTTTCCCCACATCGGTAAAGCACTTTATCATTGATTTGTTACGTAGAGCTTTTAAATGTGAATTTGATGAATACTTTTTGTATCAGTTTGCAATGGATACGGTGAATTACACTTTCTAACAAGAAGTGCACTTGTCAGTAGTGAAAATACATAAGTATATTGATCATTGAATCTATAAAAGATGCCAATTTGCTCAGGTCGTTAAAACTGAAGGAATTCTGTAATACGCTGGGCCCCAGATGCCTATGAAACAGGTCCTTAAAGCGCTTGTGCTTTGTTGGTTCATCTCGTATGTCGAAAAAACACAAATGGCATTTGCACAAAGAAGCTTAATACATTTAAGAAGTTTTGCTATTCCTTGGCTTTCTCAGTGAAAACCGTTTAGTTAAACAAATAAGAATATGGGGAGTATAGACAGCTTAGCTGGAAGATGTCTCGTATCCAAGTCTAGTGCGACCCAAACTCACATTCGTATATCACATAAGAGCATTTTTAGTATACAACACCTACACACATTACTAACCGGCCAGCATGAGGCAGGGTGATAAAAAATGTATAATCTTTTTAGGGTCAGAAATGGCTGAAAGTTATGTGCATACCCTTTTTTGTACATTTTTAATGGGTACACGGTTTTTGGGCTAAGCATCCGGTCGTTATGCAATTTGCAGAACAGGTCCTGTGGCTTACACTACTATGTACAATAGTTGACCAGTAAAATAAAGTTTGCGTTTTAAATCGGTAGCACAAATCGATAAATTTCACATTTTTAAAGCAATGTCAATGTTCATTTATTTATTTATTTTTATTTTTTTGTTTCTATATATAAATACATATTTATAACTTTATTGAATGTGTAGCGATAGGAAGAAAACAGACAACTAAATGGCGTTGGTTGAGAATTTGACAACTGTGCTTTTTGGCAAAAATGTATGAAACAGTTTGATTTAAATCTTTGGAGACTAGAATATGTCTAACCAGTCACGAAGTTGTTTCCTCTTTTTCTGTTATTCTTAAAAATTATTTCGTTTATATGATGATGAGTACTGCAACATTCTTATATGCATGTAGTCTATGTATGCGTATTCGACTGCAATTATGCAATGGCCGAAAAGCCAATTAACGCTTCTTCGAAAGGGTTTTCAGCGAGACTTTCTAATGAATTTCGATTTCGCTACTTTTTTTTGCAGCTTCGGATCTACAAACAACAGCTGAAGAGTTCCTTTGAACAGATTCGCAGCAACAATGTCGTCAAATTGGATTCTGCTGCTAGGCATGCTAATTCTATTGACAGGTAAGTTTTTTTTTTACAATCTGCAGGAGTCGAAATGGGAAAACGTCGCTTGCCGTAATCATTGGCTGATACTGCCAATGTGGGGCAAGGGGTGTTAGGGGCATACGATAGTACAAGTCAATAATGCTGCAGACACGCTTCATGGGGGGATTTGAAATTGCAGCAGCAGCCCGAAACCTGGCACTGGAGCCGCTGTGCCCAAAGTCAGCAGAGTTACTCGTACTCTTGCCACTCAGCCTTTGCATGCGCGTCACGTAAAAACAATTTCGTTTGTTCTCGCGGCTAAAGTAGAATGAAGCTGGAGCTAAATCTGGGTTTAAGGCTGTGACTGGCCTTTAACCTAACGGTTGTTATTTAACCTATTTCCCCGCAACTGTCGCCTGGCCATGCTGAAATTGTTTTATATCATCTACACTTCCGCTGACATTTAAAATAACAAGCTGAGAGCGTGCATTGATTATTGGGTCCTGATTGTGCTGTTTAGAAATGATGGCATACTTTAAAGTCCCATATGCCGCTACTTATAAACAAATATAAACACATGTATAATTATTTATTTATTTAAAATATTATTGAGAGTAATTGATAATATTGCAATATAAATTTAAAAATAAAATAAAAAAGAAACGAGCAGGATATGCATGTCGATGATTACATACCCTTGTAGACGGTAGTTAATCTACTGCTCTATGCCGAAACTTGTGGAGCTTTTTTCTGTTTCCTTTTTATTCGTTTTATGAATACAATTTTTGTTGGTAATAAATAAGACAAAAAAAAATAAAATAAAATAAGACAAAAAAAAAAAATGGTCGTTTTACACAAATATTTTTCAAATACCTTTTTTGTTTTATACAAATATATTTCTTGTGCTTCTAGTTTGATGTCAGACTTTGAACAGATTATTTTGCAAACAATTTTTAGATCCGATGTCAGCAGATAAGCTCCGCTCTACAAGGGTATAAAATCTATAATGAGCTTAAGATAACCGCTGTTTCTTGATCGCATTCGACGTTAACAAGCGACTAATTGATCCCATGGCAACTATATATAATAGTGGTCCCATCCGGTATTCTCCGACCTATGTACTCTCTTTATCAAAAAGGCGGATATATAGCAAGTTCCTCAACATTGAAAAGTATACAAATGTTAAAAAAATAATAAAGTTCTAAAAAGTTGCACAATATTAAACAATAATAAAGAATGCAATTAACTGGAATATAATGCAAATTTTAATAAGTTTGGGCTTACAACAACTCGTAGACTGACTTTGTCTTCCATTTGCATCTATGCGCCAAATGGCAAATTACCGTTACAGTCGCTGTGCTCATTTGGCATCTACAAGCGCTCATTAATAGCTCTTTACCAACCAACGCCAAAGCACGGCGCGCGCGCGTGTGTGTGTGTGTGTGTGTGTGAGTGTGAGTGTGAGTGTGTCTGGTAGTCCTAATGGCTTCTGGCTGAACCACAATCTAGTTCCTTCGCTGTTTGGGTGTGTGTGTGTGTGTGTGTGTGTGAGCTGTGTTGTGGCTGCGCACTTTGGCCAAGTTAATGTACAACTTAACTGCTGGCAATCAATAAAATGTCAAGGAACAAAAAACAAAAGAGAAAAAAATTCGCTTCCTGATTAAACTCAGTTAAGGTTGCCAGGGCGACATTTGACTTTAATTTAATGTGCCTGATGGAGCAAAAGATAAAACGACAGCCCTTTATGGAAATACCAATATAATTGCTATTTAGGCATTGAATCATTTGCGTGTCGCTTGGCTGCAAATTGTGCACTGAAATCAATGCTATCAATTTGACATGGTTGTCCTTAGAATTTCAATTCAGAGCAACATATTTTGTTTTTTTTATTTTTTTTTTTTATAATTTTTAATTAAAATGCAGCAATGCGCAGATTCTACATAGTCACTGTTGCATGAAAGTGCAAAATTTGTCGCTCACTTGTGAATTTAATTTAAGTAAATATACAATTTTTTACAGCCTTCTCTGCTATCTGTGCAAAATGTGTGTGTGTAAATGTATGTATGTAGCAAGTGTACGCGTATTGTTTTAGACAACAACAAAGTGTTTTATTTGATTTTTACAATATCTGATTTGGTTGAGTGAGAAATTGCTTTAAATTTTGTTGCCGGAGCACAATTTCTGGAGCAGACTGAGCATATAGCGAATGTTGCAAAGTGCCTTCAGTGTCGAAAATAAGGCAGAAAAGTTCGTGACAAAGTCAAACAAAAACCGAAACCAAAACATATTGATAAAAACGTCGCGGAGTTTTGTTTGTGCCGGAGTACATTTTCTATACAGATAAACTTGACTTGGAACAATATGAATTTTCTTATTTTATGGCAAAGTTCAGTTTTCAGTTTAACATATACCATATACGCGTATGCTTTACCCAGTTTGCAGCATTATATTAAAAAGTTGGTCGAGAGAATACAAGCACCAATTGCTACTAACTTTAAATTGACACTCCAGAGCAGCGAAATGTGTTTTAAAGCCATTAACCAGTTACAAATAGCCTACCCAGATTACTTTAAAATCAATTCAAGCAGTCATTTTATAATTCCTGCATAATCCAGTCCTTAATTGTATATGCAAAACTAGAAAATCAATAAATTAACATGCAAGCCGCAGACGGCAAGTGCAATAACATCTGCAGCATTAATAGGATGGTTTTAGCTGCAGAACTTGAAGAACTTCAATTTGAAACAATATTTAAATCAGGTGTTCATACACATAGACGAACATTGAACAATAAGAATTTACCCATTTTGCCATTAGGTAAAGTTTATAAAATCATCAATATAGCTAATGAGCTTATTCTTTTCTATTTTTTAATATAAATATGTAACTATGCTAGTATGTGAATCCTAACTGAAATCAACGGCCTTCGTAGTCAAACTTCGTAGTATACATATGTTGGCTAAGAGGCCCAGTCGAAGCCCAAACCCAATGAAATATGGAAGATCCATTTTATAGCAGATATGTATTTTTTCTCTTCATGCGCAATTAATTTGCTATTATTGTAGGATAGGGATTAGCACATTAATATTATTATCACATTTTGGCAAATGTCGTTCTATTTTAAATTTAAATTAGCAGAAAAGGCATCGATTATGCAGAGTCCATTTGACGACCAGATAATGGGTAAATAACGGTTGTATGCACTTCTATTGCTTTGCTGTTGGGATTTATATCAGCTATGAAAAATAATAAGTTAATTGAATACATGTTTTACCAATTTGCCAATATCAAAAGCGCACAGTAGTTCCGGCAGTGGCAGTAGCCTGCAGCATGTTTGGTTCATTTAATTTGACTGCCACAACATAAATCAGCCGTCTAGTAATGCCTCAAATGTCCTGGGAGTCAAGAGTTAGAAAGGAAAACGCCATATTTCATGCCGTTCAGTTTCAGCTCAACATCCAGCCAATGAGTTAAATTGTTTTTTTTATTTTTTTTATTTAAAAAATGAAAGATGCCACCAAAACCGCCAAGTGGACTTGAGTCAGGGACAACTTACTGACTGAGTGACTGCCTGTTTGACTGACTCACTGACAAACTGGCTGACTGACTGAGTAACTTAGTTGAAATGAAAAGACGCCGCGCCATTAACAATGGGGCATGGGATTTCAAGGTTCGGGCTTGTTGCGGGGTTGGGGTTGCGATAAGAATAATTGGAATGTCAGTTTAGATGCGCGCACGTGAAAGTGAACACAAAGCGACACAGCTAGAGTCAACCCGCAGCAGCAGCAGCAGCAGCAGCAGCAGACACTCTGTGTGTAAATGTGGGTGTGGGTGTGGGCGTTGATGTAGCAGCGGGAGCAGCAGCAGCAGCAGCAGCTCAACATGTTGCAGCCAGGCTGGCTGTGTAAAAATGGTACAATAGTTGCAACTGCGTCGTGGCGGCGCACTTGGCTGAACAATGACATAAACCTAATGACAACCAGATGACGATGACGATGAGGAGAACGACGACGACGACGACGACGACGACGACGACGACGATGATGATGATGATGATGAGGATGATGATGAGGATGGCGGCCTCAATGCCTTCGGTTGGCAAGCAGCGGCAGCTCCAGAGGCAGCACGGCCGAGAGATGGTTGGATGCCACTGACAACAATGACAACGCTGACATGCACAGACAAAAAAGGCAAAGAAGGCAAAAATATAAAAAAAAAAAAAAACTCATTTTTGAAATCAAAATTTGACGCAAGCTCCGGTGTCCAGAGCCGCAGAACCGCAAAGGACAAGCATCCGGAAAAGTGGAGTGACACTCGGGGACTTCACTAAGGATAACTAAGCATAAATGCTGGAGCATGCTGCGGTCAGCAATATGCGAAGCGCCTATCAAAAGCCAGCAGTAGGTCTCCACTCGAGTGTACTCGACTATAAGTTACCCAGTGGCATATGACCAGACCTGCATAAGTATCGGATATATGAACAACAACAGCGTCAACCCACTGTCAACATTATGAACATATTATTTAAACACATTTTCCCTATGATTAAATTGTATTTATTTACATAAAAATGTACCCACATTTGTTTTGACTATTTGACGGAATGCCAAACAGCCGCAAGACATCTAACCTTTTGTAATCAGATCTTGCTATTCATGTTGTCTGCCCTTTCTTTTGTCAGAGTTTCAGAACAGTTAAACACTTGACTTGACTTGACTTGACTTGATGTTGACGTTGTAGTTTGTCGAATTTAAGCAAATTCCTATTGCGCCTTGAGCAGAGGCAGCACAACTGTTCTCCTGGATTCAAATGTTATTATTTATAATGGTTACGACAAAGGGCAGTCAACATACCAATATTGGTGTCCCTAGCTAATATCTCACCTCAATGTTTACCGATTTTTTGATGAAAATCTGAACGAAAGATTCGTTCGTATACGCAAAAATGTTTATACAAATGGCACAAGTGTAACAAAGAAAATTGTGCACATTTTTTTCACTCAATGGCTTCCGAAAATTTGCTTTCATTCCGATGGCAATAAGCTGATAATCCTCAGTATCATAAAGAACACAATTTGATAAATGTTTTCATTGAGATTTGATACATATACATAGATATCCAACCATAATCCTTGTCTCTACCTCTACCTCTGCCCTATTATACCCTTTTGATCCACTTTCAGTGGATACACTGGGCACACACAGAATCATGATAAGCGACTTGTTATCAAAACTGCAACTGCAACTGCAAAGGGCAACGGCAACGACAGAGTAGGCAAAGGGTGAAATGCCTGCCCATTTGTCGTTTAAATTGAAATTGAAAACAGGACAACAAATCGCGTCGAGTACTTGGGCACTCTCAGAGTATTGTGACAATGAATTGATGCTGGCAAGGACTGAAGCTTGAACTGCAGCTGCAACTGCAAGTTCAACTGCAGCTGCAACTGCATTTGATTGCCCATTTGTGCAGCTTGCGCTGCAGACTCCAATTAGTCTCTTGCGCATGCGTTGTGGGCGTGGCTGGACGATGGCCGATTATCTGTCACTGACAGCGACAGCAGTGTCAAGTTGTATTCTGTTCTGTTGACACGCCTCCAGGCCGGCGCTAAGCTGTTTTGTTAATATCAAAGGGAAAACGTCCAACAGGAAATAGGTAGTGGAACAGTGAGGGGGTGGTGCCGAAAAGATAACCCGTTGCAGTTGCCGGCTTTCATTAGGCGGCCAACAGAAATCTAGCATTGTTGTTGGTGGTCGTGTTGTTTTTGTTGTTTATTGTCAAAACATGTGCGAAGCAAATTGCTGCCATAGCTTACGTAACTTACAACAGCTGTGGAGTGTGAGTGAGTTATAACTGAAACTTGCCCGCCCGAGCCGACAGCTTGTTATTTTTTTTTTTTTTTTTTGGTCTATTTATGGCAGCCACTGACAAAGTACTTGATATGTTCAAAACAGACAATTACTACGTTGAGCTGCTGTCATCAATTGACTGTCGTGAAACATTTTCGCTTCGTCCTTCAGTCTTGACTTGCACACTAGACAGTCTTTGTGGCATACTTTAACTTGTGCAGCATTTCTCAAGTTAAAGAAAACTTAAATATTGGCCTCATTCGGCATTCGCTGAAGACTTTTCGGAGTGGAACTTGGAGCACTCACGAGCCAGCAAGTGCAGCAAAACTACGGCTTGAATAACAACTAAGTTCGAAAAGAGAAATTATATGCATTTGTAAGTTGATTCGATTTGGACAAATTTCGAGAAAGTCCATGACATAGAATCATAATATTCATAGTCAAAGAATTCGCTACTCAAAAGTCTAAATCGTATACCCATGAATTGCAAAGATTCCCACTTATGCCAAAAAAATAACTCAATCATGAGAGAAAACTTTGATACCCTTGCCAGACTTTGTTAATAATCTGTGGTAGATACTGTTTGGTGACGAAATACGAATATATTAATAGCTTTGACAATTTCGACACATCTCACTGATCTGATTAGGAATATGCGTATGTACTTTGCGGGGTCAACGATGACTAACACAGATTTATAACAGCGTGGGTAAAAGCAAAATAGGAGCAAAAAACAACTTTAACAGAAATGGTGAAAAAAAGGCCAATTGAATATAAAAAATTGCTGAACTTGACACAAAACTCATTTGAAATTTAAATGGCACAAGCGCATCGAATTCGTTGAGAGTGCCTTATCCTTCCTCTGCTTCTTCTATTGCTTCCACTGCTTCTACTGCTTCTACTCCATCATCGTTTTCTTCTCTTTCTTCTCGCCATCATTACGAGTGCGACGGTGAGTGTTTGTCATTTACAAATGTCTGCCGACTTGATTGGCTGCCATGGCCATTAGGCAGCTCTTCTCGACCAACTGTGGGAGCTCAACATAATACATTCACATACATATACATGTATGCAAATAAGCTTAATTCCTGACCAACTCTGAGGCCATTACAGCATGCTACAGCATGCTAAAAATTGGCAACTCAGTGAATAATAATAGTGAACGTCGCATAAATTGAAAATCTATGCGGGGACAGTGTTAAATACGGAATTTGCTGCCTGTGCGTAAATTATTGACCAAAAACTCATGCCTGTCTGTGAGTGAATAAGTGAGTTTTTGGCTTACCACATTGCCATTAAATGCTGGCATTTGAAATGGATGACAAAAAAAAAAAATAAAATAAGGAGAGCTGTTCGCAACATAAGTTGAGAGTGCATATTTTGTTTGGCCTTTAATTTAAGTTTCATGTACATACATATACTCGTATATAAAATTTAAAGTATAATATAATTCATCTACCAAAAGTCAGCCATCGATATAATTTGGCATAATTTCTTTGATGGCTAGCACAAATATTCTTTATAATTAAGTTTGACTTTCACAGTTTGAATGCAAGCCAAAGGAGAGTTAAAGTCAAAGCAAAACCATGTTTAAAGCAAGAATAAGAAGCAATCTTCGACACAAAATCGATAAATATATATATATATTTTTTGGGCTATGAACTATCAACAAAAAAAGATAAAACATGGCCTGCATTACAACTTTTATAAAAAAACAATACAAAAAAAACCCTCTCCTTAAGGGTGTATGTGTAAAGAGAAAATACGTAACCATGAGTATATGTATGTATCTGGTTCGTATCTGTGGTCACGTAAAACTTATTCAGGTGGGAGATGTGGGTGGCATCCTGCCATATAGCGTCAAACTTTCATCTCTGCAAACCAGCCAGCTCAGTCAGAAATTGGCCATGACTATGGTAAGCAGTGTAATATCGATGACAATTTTATTTGCTACATTTCGTGTTCAACTAAGGGAAAGCCCACCGCAATGCGACTCACATATAGGCGAGTCTATTTTATATGCTTACTGGCTGATAAGTAAAGTCACACATATACTTAAAGTGGCGCTTGAAATCCGCTGGATGTGATTCGCCATCCTAGCAGCCGAGCAGCTGAGCAGCCGAGCAGAAGAGACGCCCATTCTCCCAATATGGAAAGCACTTCCATATATTGGCCTGAGCCACCAGGACAATCGAAAGCTTAGTCTAAAGTCTTACACATCTCTGAATTGCCCCCCAGTACATTCTGCACATACATACATATATAAGATCACGCGCATACGCTTGATACTGTGGGCGCAAGCAAATGTGTCAAGGCCGATTACGGCTGTTGGCAAGGGAAATTGTTGTAGCTTGGGGGAAAACGTTAAAACATTACAGCTGCAACGTGGCAAGCTGCCACGAAGCAAGTTGTTGGAAAAAAAGAGGGAATCTCACGTGTTCGACCAGCTGCAGCGCAAACAATTCAAAAGAGGGAAAGCGAAATGAAAGCGTTTGCAACGACAACGACAACGGGCAACAGGCGATGGAATCGCAAGGTGTTAAGCGGTATTTAAACTGTGACACCAGAAGAGGGCGAGTGGAAGGCAGATGCAGCCAGACAGCATTCGCTATCATGGCATCGTGCAGCGTGCATCTGTTATCTATACCACCCAAGTTGTACCATCCCCCAAGTTTCGTATTGTTTTTTTTTTTTTTTTTCAATTTAAATGGTGTGTTCCATGGGGAAGGAATGTGTTTTTTTAAACAGATTTTTGCACTGCTCAGTTTGCACACAATTGACAAAAATGTAAGAGCTTATTTTATAATTCAATTTAATCTTGGTTACATATTCTTATTTGATGAAAACAATTCAGTAATTGCATTATGAGAAATTATCAATCTTCTGTGTTGGCTTAATGTATTTTTGTTTTTACCAATAAATCAAAATTCCACATTGAACTTCTACCTAAAGGAGATTTTTCTGGGAATACATAGAAAAACCGTACAATAATAACAGTTAGTTTTTGTTTGTTGTTATTTTGTTTCTTTCCAGCTAGCTGAGAATAATTTTCTGAAAATACTTACAAAAAACACGAAATATTTAATATTTAATGTTAATTTTAAGTTATATCGTTAAAATAATTGAACGGTACTTGCCTTTTATTAAGAAATATATATAAATAAACTCTGATAGAAAATCTCGCTGAATTTTAGAAAATCGCTGTACAGTTTAAAAAATATATCTAACTTTCAGGGTGTTCTTGTTTATCTGTGAACGTGACGATTTCACAAACTCATTTAATTTAATTTACAATTTATCAGAAGAGACATTTTCTAAAAATTTGGGTTTTGCATTTTTACATTTTACAGATATTTTAGATTATTTAAAAATATTTTTCTAAAAACAAAATAAAAACTTTCCAGGTTAGATTCGATTGTCTTTTTACGGGGTTTTTTTCTACATTTTTTTTCTGCATAAATTAACCATATTCGTAAATAACAAAATCTTCGCAACTGTTATCATATTTTGCAGGGGGTTCGCAGGGTGCCTCGAAGCGATTCTTTACCGACTTCCTGCAGGACCTACCCACACCCGGCACAGGGGGACCCACATTTGATACAAACATTGCCACCAACGTAACCGGTCTCGTGGGAAAAACAATCAAGTTGACCTGTCGCGTCAAAAATCTCGGAAATCGCACGGTAAGTACTAAAAAGCAGCTAGCTGTTCGAAATGCAGTTAATTTAATCTGAAGTATTCGTGCATATGTACGAAGCGCCAACTCAAAGCGTGACGAGGTATACAAGTTTTGATGGTGCCGAATAACAAATACCTTTAAGAAATTTTTGAATTAAGATTTTTATATAATAGCTCTATAATATGGAAATTCAACTATGTAACTGTGAAAGATATATATGATATAGATAGGCAAAAGTCTTATTATGATATTTTTAGACAATATTTTTTGGATTTGCTATCGATATATGCTTTACTGGTCGAATTTGTTTCCGCTTACGCCGTAACGCAAGATGACATAAGTATTTTAACCGCCAGAGCCATGTTCTGTTCTCAATGCAAGTATAGTATATATATCACTGTACCAAAGCATAAATGTATTCATAAAATGCATTTTTTAGATTGAACTCTGGGAAAGAGCTGAAAAAATGTAAAAAGTCTAAGATTCTAAGCTGCCTTCGATGAAGTTATTCACGAATTTCGTGTTCCTTGCTGGGAGTGGGCGAAAAATATATACACAGAAGTCAGACGGCCAAATGGGTGTTGCATTAGCAAAACCAATATGCTCATTTTTCTTTTTGGAATGTGGGTATTTAAATATAAAAGTTGTACAGCGAAAAGTTGTCGAAAGGCTTTACGCTTCACGGAAGGCGACTGCAAAGAGTTGCTTGTTATTAGAAGAGGAAGAGTATAGTAAGGGCAGGGCTTTAACTGATGGCAGCTGTCGTCTGTCGACGGTCGACGGTCGACAGTCGACTGTCGACTTTCCACTGACGTTCACTCGGGCAAAAGTTGTGAGCCGGCTTCAACATTTCTCTGTGCATCTCACTATGGCTTTGTCTACTTGAAAATTCATTCGAAATGCGACCAGTTGAAGTTGTTGAGTTTGCTATAGCGCCAGCTGTTAAACAATTAGAAATTTAATTTTTACTCAGAAGTCACTGTACCAAATAACATTCAGGCCAAGTCAAACAGTTAACATTGCACTTTTTAAGTTTCTCCCATCTGCAATTCCAGCAAATTTAAATATTTTACATTTTGAGTAGTCACTAATAATGAAAAGAATTAAAAATTAAAAAGGAATCTGGCTATATATGGACTCGATGGCCCTCCCAAAGTTAGGCCTAGGCGAATCAAGCATAACGGCGAATATGTGGTAGTTGCAAAGTTGCAGCTGGAGCTGTTCGAGCTGTGCTTATGGATGAGAAAGTGGACAAGCACAGCTATTTGATCATCAGGCCGAAATGACCTGAAGCTTGGGCTTGATCGAAAGACACTCGTCTTTGAGCCCGAAAATGACCGAAGGGACTCCTCACTCGACACTGCAAACATCTAAGAATGCTATTCCAAAAATCGGATTACAGAAGATAATAAGGAAACACATGGTTCCATGAAAGGAGTCCTCAAAAACGGCATAGTTAGTTGAATGGAATAAAATAGGTGTTAATAGCACCAATAACTTGGTGCAAGGACGTAATTAAGGGCAAAAGAAGGCCCTACTAAATGTTATGAACTATACTCGAGGCTGTTTTTCATTAGTATTTCAACGGAATTCTTAAAAAGACACAGTTAGTTGTATGGAATGAAATAAGTGGTATTGACACCAATATCTGGGTGTAAAGACAAATTAAAGGCCAAATAAGAATGTAAGTTGAATTAAAAGCAACCATTCCACGATTTTTTCGTTAGTATTTTGTAAATATGTATTTTTTTTAAATAATATTTAAGCAAAGTGTACGAATAAATATTGTTCTGACTGTATATATAAATAATAAATAATAAAATAAAAGCAAACGCTTGTCTCTTTCTATGAGAAATGAATTGTAGAATTGAAGAACACAACTTGGGTAAAATACTATCAAAAAGGGCTAGTTTATGTTTAGACTGCCTTAGAAGCTATTCTTCACAAAATTATTTTTTAAATGACAATCTTTTTTTGTTTTACAAAATATTATTAACATCGGACTAATCTATCATTTATGTAAAAGCTCACAAAGAGCATTCGTTATTTAAGTTGAGCTGTACAAAAAAACAAACATATTTTTCCATTCGACTAATAAACAACATTGATCCCAGGTGGCTAAATTATACCTTTTGCATATTTAGCTTCGTGATGTCTGATGTTAACTAGTACATTGGCTTCCCCAATTCAGTACAGTATATTTATTGGTGTTAAGCGGCATCCATTGATGTTAATTAGCTGCCTAGAGAAGAGTAATTAATCACATGGCCAACAGTTTGTCAATTATAATGCTCCAGATGTCGAACTATTCGCAAGATGCAAGCTCATAAATAACAATTAACATGGTGGTCGACAGGGGAGTGAAGTGTGTGGAATTAAGTGGCTTGGTTTATGCTAAGACAGCAATTTGCACTTTGCTCATGTCTCGAGTGTCATGTTCCAATTGCCTTGCCATATTTTAACATATTTTTGAATGCGAAGCAATAAATGGCACAATTAGTGGGCTGCCATTTAAAGCAGACAATTCAAAATATATTTGTATGTTTGTATATTTGTGGAGGAGGACGTCAATGTCAATTCTGATAAAATCATTTTTGATGTCGCTTTTTCTGAAGCCGAAAAAGAAGAACAGCAGATGTCAATATTCATCTGGCACAATAAAGCAAATTGAGAATGGAAAATGGGAAATGACATCTGACCATTATGATAGCAACATTTGTTGCACTCTCCGATACTCATATACATAGTTACGACTTTTGTTGTTGTTGTTGCAGATGCTGTTGCTAAGGCTAAATTGATTTCAATACAATCAAATCGACGCGTCGTCAGGAAAGCTTATTAAAATCACATTCGTAGCAGCCGCCATCAATGGTTGCGATACGCTAAAGTCATGTTAGTGTCCTTTTGCTTTGTTGTTGGCAATAAAAAAAAAATTACATACATTAGAAAAAAAAAAAAAAAAACAAGCGAGAACGTTGCAGTCGGGCGAACCCAACTGCGAAAGACTCTGATACCATAAGTAATACCATCTGATAACAGGTGCTACAAAACAGCGTGGGTTTAGCCAAGAAATATCGATCTTTTAAGGAGAGTTTTAGTAATCCATCGCATATTAATATATTCCTAGTTTGGAAACTGTAGCTCTTAAATTGCGGGAGATATGGGCTTTTGAGATACCTTCGCTATAAAAAAGTATAAAAATCATAATGATTTGGAGTGTGAGTGCTCAAAAAGTTAATTTCTCAGACGATGGTTGGCTCTTTCATAAAATGGAAATTTAATTTCTTTTAGAAAAAAAATCTAAATTTTCTCTAATATTTTATTTTAAGATTCAATATATTATTTTTTAATATTTTAATATCTTTTTATGATTCCTTATAAGATTCAAGAGTTTTTCTTTTCACCTAGAGCCCATTAAAACTGTGTAAAAAAGTATCCACTTGGTTTAATGCGAAAGTATGTATAGGCCACGCCTACTTACATTTGAGCACTTCCACGCCTACTTACGTTTGAGAGTGCAAAGCTTTTAAAAGTGATACTTGGCAATAAAATTATAATAATATATTAAAATAATGGGTTTAGGGTAGTCCAGCTCACTCGACTACTGGTTTTTGCATAAAAATGTCTCCCTTGTCAACGGAACAGCTAAACTGTGATTTTACAATTTTAGTACGATTTTTCTTTTCTTTGAGTGTAGTTGCGGTGATGAAAATGAAATAAGAAAGACAAGCTGCTAGAGGTTTTGGGCTTTAGCCGCTTCTTGCCTGTCAATTGTGGTTATGTATGCAACTGGCCGCTTTACCAGGCGACCGCACATTCGAAGGCTTTCACGCCGCAAAGGTTTGGTCAGGTGGGGAGCGAGACGTCTAATCTCATTGCATGCACTTCATTAGTGTGTAATTGAAGTGGTGTCGTCAATTGGATTGCCAATGCCCCCAGTGCCATGTACGTCACAGAAGCTACCTCCACTAGGCGATGGGGCGATGAGGCATCCGATGGGATGCGATGCGATGTGATGTGATGTCGACTGTCGATTGGAATTGAAATTGTTGTGGTTGATGCTGCAAGTAAATTGATATGTGTGGGTCAATCATACATACATATGTACACACACACATATCCTATTGGCCAACACCAATTGAAAGTGCAATTTGGCGTGTGAGCCGCATGGTCCTGTAAACGTTTCTTTTCGCAACCTCTGCCTCTCCCCCTCTAGCTCTGGATTGCCCTTTTGTTTTGTCACAATTCGTGGCTGCCGCAGGGCACGTTCACCACACTTACATAGACACACACACACACACACACACACACACGAGGACTGTCGAGTCGATTTCCGCTTTGACTCTTACTAATCCCAGAGTATGTGTTTTTTGTGTGCGTTTTTCGATGTTTTTTGTGCAGAATTCCCTGGTCCCTGCCCCACTTCTGCCCCTCTGCCCCTCTGCCCCTCTCCCCTGACCCCTGGCCGCTTGCAGTCACTCAACTTTTCGGGCAATTTTGTGTTTTTTGCCCCTTTGTCCCCAATTTCAAACATTTATTTAAATTTGTGAGCTTTGCATTTGCACTGTGAATGCGGCGCACAGCGCAACAGCTGCCACTTCCACTAGATTTGGTTGCCTACCCAAAAGGGAGCTAAGAGCAGCAGAAAAGCTAAATCAATAGCAAAAGCAGAAACCATTTCTCACAAGTTTAAATATTGCTCAATGAGTGCTGGCTCACTTAGTGCACTAAATGGAATACTTAGTGCATTCGTTAAATAACTTTTAATACGCTGACACGCCCATTTTCCCTCTGATTTTCCGCCTTTTCGGCTCATGTTGAGTGGCTCATTTAAAAAACGCTGTTAAAATAATCGGCAATTACTTTTATTTGGTTTGTTTCCTGCCAATTCCCACTGCCATGCCCACAAGCCAGGTGATTTTTCATTAAGTTGGCCGCCAATCTGGCGGCTGCGCAATTCTCTGTTCCCAGTCAAATGACTGCTCAAAGCTGTTAGCAATGACC